ATGCCAAAATTATACACACATCAGGAAAAGAAAACCTTGTACAAATATTTTAGTAAGAAATTTATTGAGATATCATGAGATTAATACAAGCCATCTTTGGTCTCTACAATTACAAGGAGAGCTCAGAGTTGTGGCCATTAGCTTCCAGACATTTAGTGGTATGGCAAACTGCTGCGTGGACAAACTTGGTCACTGAGAATGAAGCACATACATGTCTCCTGAAGTGTATATACACTTTACACTTTTTTGGCAAATGCCTCTGTCTGTCTGTCTATCTATCTATCTATCTATCTATCTATCTATCTATCTATCTTTTGGACTGATGTGACTGCAAAAATACATACCAAAGTGCATGAATTAGATATTGGTATTTCAGTACTATGCATAATTTAAAGAAAATGTACCAGCCCATAAAATTTTGGGATAAAAAGTGAGTAAATAATAAATAGATTCATTAAATAGAACTCCATTCAAGATGTTAAAGGACACAATTTATTTTTCTTTGGTTTTGCTTCATGTTTCAGGGGCACCAGATTTTTTTTTCAAACACTAAGTGAAAAAATTTTTATGTTATGAACTAAGAAAAAAATACAACATAATTGAGACACCAAAAATTTAAAAAATTTTTACAAGTTGTAATTTCTTCCTTTACCTACTATTCTTCCCTTGTATGATAAAACCAAATGGAATAATCCCATTTTGCAGGATTCAAGTGTACTTCTGAAATTAGAGTCTGTCTCCTTACAATAATTGCATATGTAAGCCTTAAAATATGGATTTATAGGCATAAAAGGCAGCATAAGACAATGTTTACAGTACTTTAAAAACTATTTGATTAAAAAATCTTTTAGCTAAAAATAGCTGGAATAAATAGTACAGAGAAAAGTGTATGTATTTTATAAAAAAGAAACTGCTTCATAACAAAATCAAATTATGAGTAGGAGTACAATAATAAACATCTTTAATAAATACACCAAGGATAATGAGAATTTATTATCATTTAGACATTGCCCTCTCATTACATAATTTCCATGAATCCTTAGTAACTGACTGAATAAGAACCAGTCAGAAGTTCCAGACAAACAATGGAAAATCTTTTTTCCTTTTAGTAACTTCTGTGCCTACTTTAAATTGATCATTTGTTTCGTGGGCTAACCCCCAAGCGGGGTGCATGCTCTTTCCACTTGCAGAATTCTCTTAAGTTGAATTCCCTCTTTGTCATCCCAGGCTAATAAGTACTTTATTTTCTTTTGCTGCTTGTTACTAGAAAAAAATAAAAAATAAAAAAATAAAAAAATAAAAAGATAATCAATTCATACTACTTGCTTAGCCGCCTGCATTTTAATTTGAGATTATGGACGAATATCAGAGTGCCCTTATGATATTTCCCACAAAAGGCTCAGTGTTCAAGGCTGTATTCAGAGATCCCAAAATAGCACTGAATTAGCAGTGACATGCTGACATTGTCGTGGCACTGAAAGCACAATGTCTGTAACTCAGAGAAATGTGGCATGTCGAAATTTTGCTAAGGAGCCTCTGAGCCAATTAAGTGCAATCTTTCCTACTATTCCTCATATGTCTAACAAGAAGTTTGAATTTTACTTTCCTCCAAAGTCCTGGAATTTGAAGTTCTTCAGGTAAGACTGTGATCTTTAGTGCATTAACTAGATATGCCTTAAAAGTGCTTTGATAACTGTTGCTATTTTGTACATCAGAAGATGTTTCTAAACAAATTTGAAACCATGACATATACACTGAATTTTTTCTAAAACAAATATGTGAAAGAAAAATCTTCATTGCTACAATGCTGGTTAAGGGATAGAAAAAACTTGTAAAGTTGTTCATATTTTAAGGTATGAACCTTGGATGAATCTATAGCTTGATTGAATGAATGATGAATCTTGGATGAATCAATAGCTGCTGTACATTTTTCTTTCTCCAGGATTTTATTTTTGTGTCATGTATTTGTATTCATACTATCAAGTATTATGAAGAATACCTTCAAATTATGATATTTTTTTCAACTTTAATTGAGGTTATTGGTACATTTTAGGGATACAGTACAGTTACATTCATTCCTGGGATCTTGTACTTCTACATGACAAGTCTTGATTCTCATTTTTCCCCTTACCCCTGTCCTCATATTTTAATAACAACTATGTGTTTCTTCAAAGACAAATTTAACAAAATGAACATGTAGCTATTTTTCTTTGCCTATTTTTATTGCTGTCAAATGTTCTATTCTTCTTTAAAGTCCTTAACTAAAAAGTTTCAGTAATTAAGAATGCTGTAATAATTATAAAACAGTACCATCAAAACATTGAGCATTATCATGAATATAAATGCACACTGATCTATGAATACATATTTATAATGCATGTCAACTATATAATTAAAGGAAGAATTAAGCATAAACAATAGACTACAATAAATAAAGAAAATAAAAGATATTTATGCATCAATTTTAATTTAGTACAATTAATTTTAATTTTCATATTATATTTAATACAATATCACAAGACGTTTGTTAAAAGAATTTAAAAATAATATAAAACATCACATGAACTGTTCAACAAAATATTTTTTTCAGGTAGTTTAATGCTTTTGCTCTAAATGTTAATTTTTTTGCAAGGAAAAATTCATTGAAATAAAACAGTACAACTTTTGTGATAATAATCTATTTAGATATTGGATATAGCTATATTATTAACTAAATATTATGTAATATATTGATATTGAAATTATATGCTTTGCTTTAAATTCTTCAAATATTTTTAATTGTCTCAAGTACAGATACTTGCTAATTTTCAAATTGAAATACTAATGTTCAACATGATTTAAATATTTTGGTTATTCAATGTGATAGTGAAAATACTTGTTTTTAAAATGAAAAACTATTTAAAAATTAAAATCTAATATTGTTAAAAATTTTAAATAGTCTATATAATTTAGAAATCTCTTGAGTAATTTTTAAAATTTGTGCCCTCTTAAAAATATTTGCATGTGCTGACACAAACACACACATATCCATACAAAGATTCATCATAAGTAATATTTGGGGAAGATTATATATATATGTGTGTGTGTGTGTGTGTGTGTGACACACTTATGTAGCCTAGTTTAAATATTATATTACATAGATATTTTTGTATCATATTTACAGTATTCAATACATTAATGTATAGAATTTTACACTATTATTAGTCATTTAAAAATAAATTTTAGATACTAAATAAGTGAAAAAATTATATGCATAAGCTTTTTCTATACATTCTTAAGAAATAAGATTCATCTCAGGTACTTCTTATCATGCTACTGCCTATAATTTATAATGATAATTTATAAGTAAGTATAAATTGATACTATCTTTGCAACTCATGATCTTAGTATGTATATATTTTAAATATTTTTGTGTTTATAACATTAAGTAACAGCACTTAACATAATTTTGAGTGAGAATGAAATAGGAATAAATGTATTACACTTTTCAAAATAGTACATCTGTTTTCTTATATACTGTATTTTCACTAGTATTTTTAGCTACTATCATATTGTTTGACAATCCTGCTATCAAATGGAGGAAACAGAGCTTGTGTATTTTGCTGCCATGACAATTTCCTTTACTGTACATTATGTTCTAACATCTGTACTTTCAGTTTGGCATAATAGATTGAGTTTGTAGTAATTATAGAGTCTAATAATAATCTCAGAAACTTTTTTGTTTATGATAGCTCGAAATTTTGTTAACTCTGGTCCCTTTTCCAAATCAACTAAAACATTGTTTGACACTAACACAAAGGCAAACCTCAGAGAATCTGTAAACCAATATCACTACCACTCAACAGAGAGAATCAGAAAAATGTTCTAAAACCGTTTTCCAAAACTTATAACATGTCAATTTCTTTTTCAAATGATGCATACCCCTCTGAAGATGTTAATCATCAGGAGGATACTGGTCTCACTTTGAACAATGTTCTACAATTAGTAATTCATGAATATTTTTGTCCAAATTTAGCACATTAATTACTCACAATTGCTTCCCAAATTTTCAAAGCTTGTTTTAATATTAAAGAAAAAATATATTTTTCAGAAACCCTACTTTGGCATATCAAATCAAATTTGAAGTGCTATTTTAGCACTGACTTATTAACATACGCTATAAATGCACTGATATTTTATCTTTGTCTGAAATCCAAACAGATGAATGATAAATTTTGTAGATTTGCAAGGTAGTATTTTGAAGTGGGAATAACTTTAGCACATCCATCATACCTTAAAATAACCTAGGTAATTTTCTTTTTTGTGCAAAATTCAGAAACGTCATTCCTTTGGCAATCAGCAGATTTTACATAAATCACAATAAACGAGCTTGTCAACATTTTTCTTCCTTTAAGTCACATTACAGATAAATTGTTTCAAAGGTTTTGCTATTTTATTCTTACAAATTTCTAGTGAAGCTATGAGATTCTCTGATAAGAAGATAATACAACCAAATATACAGACAAAGAAGACTTATAAGTAGAAAAGTAAGCATATAAGAAGAAACAGATATAGACACATTTTTGTTTGAATTTGAACAGAGTATTATTGTTTCTCAGTAAGCAAATACTTATTGACAATGCTTGAAATTGCTCTTGTGGTTGTATAAAATATAATTCTTAGTTTGTAATTTTGAGGACAAGGAAAACAACTATAATATCATTTACCATTGGATATACATTTATCTTTTCTTTCTAAATAGCATGTTTCTGCCTTTGTTGATATATAATATATTGAGTTTTCTTTATATATATTTTGTTCTAACCAATGCTTAAATAAAAAATTGACTTCAAATTCTCCTGTTGATGAAAAAGAATATGTGTATAGACACACACACCTAAATTTATATATGTATATGGATTTATCTATATATATAAATAATTTCAAATTTTATTTGAAATGTCTATATCATTTTGGGGTCAAAATTTTTATTATGATTTTATTTCCAAATTTTATATCATAATTATAAGCTGTGAATTCATTTATGATTGCAATTAATCTAGTAATTATCTCAATATTATTTATCTTAAAATGATGATATAAATTTGAATGTATTATTAAAACATGGAGAATCAAAGAAATCATAACATTTATCTCATTATTTTTATCTTCATCCATGTTGTTATAATCATAATAATTTTAGCAAGTGTTTACTTCAGTAATATCATTTTCTTTGCAGCAATATATTTGTTACTTCTATTTCATTGTCATAAAAACCATCTTTCAAAGACTGTACTTTTGTGTGAAAAAGTGCTCATTAGCTTCAAAATCACAAGTGCTATTATTTCCCATCTTCATTTTTTTTCAAAGAGCAACTGCTTTGAATGATTCATTGGCAAATTCTTTTCTTTCTTTTTTTTTATACTTTCAGTCACTTTTCCACTATTTCTGAGACTCACTCCTAAAATTTCTCTTTAGCTCATCAACAATTGTATTGGTTCTTTTGACTGATAATGAATAAATAACTTAAGAAAAGTGTCAAGAGTTAGAGTTTGATGTAATTCTTTATCTCCTGACATGAATTTGTCTGTGATCTTATTTCTCACTCTGCATCTTTATGCCAAGCATCTAGCTATAATTTGGTAACTAGAAAGTTATTGCTAAATAATCATAGTTTGAAAGGAAAAGGTGATCTGAAGTTTCATGAAACTCAGCCTCACTAAGAAAGAAAATGATGAACCACAGGGAGGATAAAGTGAAGACACAGACCTGGAGAAATAGTCCCCTTCTACTTCAATTTGTAGGTTAATCTTCGAAGTCCTCTCTGTGTTAAATAGGGAGGACACCTGGTTATTAATTGCATTGTGAGTAAACAAGAGAAATTTAATTTATGTTTATATACCATCTTATTCTTTGGAACTTTAATTTGAGTAAAATTCATTATATAATTTATTAAATAGCAAATATTATGGATGCAAAACGCTAGTATAGAAATAAAGAGTCAGAGAGCCAGGGACCTGATCTCAGTGTTAAATTACCTGACCCATCCAGCAATTAATTTTACTAATCTAAGCATCTTTCATGACAATCAAGTTGACAATCAAAGACAATCCGCCTTTGTCAGCTTGACACCTAGCACATTGTTAATGATGCTTAATCTCCACATTAAGGAAATAACAGATCATAATTCTGCCTAACATAATATATTATGCCTAACATAATTCTACCTAACATAACTCTCTTGTGTACACCTTAAAATGTGCTAATTCTTCCCCCAAAGTCTTAACCGTTGTAGCATTGCTCAAAACTCCAAGTATAAAACCTCCTCTAATACTCATGACAAACTTAAAGCTGTCAACACTTGTAATACAATTCAAAAAGTAAATTACATATTCCAAAGATAAAAATGTACAAGTTAAGCATTTGCTTTCCAGAAGATAGCAATAAGTGGTGAAAATGAATCAGACAACAAGATGACCAAAACAAAAGAAAGTAAACATTGAACTCCCTGACCTTAAGTCTGGCATCTGAGCCTGTAATGGTGAGCTGTGAACTCCAAAGGGCTTGGGCAGCTCCACTGCATGACCTTGCCATTTGGAGAATACATAGCCGTCTCATGGGCTGGCGGACTGCAGCTTTCTTCTGCATCTGCCCCATATTCCTGTCCTTGCAAGTTCCTGGAGCATCCACTGAAGCCATGATCACAGTCTTAGCACTTCACACATAGCTCTCCCATGTGTTTCTGGCATGTCCTCCAACCTTGTCATACAACTTTTCCTGATATTCCCGGCCTCCCTTTGAAATGTGGCTGGAAGTCTCTATGACCTCACAATACTTGCGTTCTGCATTTTATGAAAGCACCATCACAAAGATGGTGCCAAAGCCTTCATAATACGATGCCAAAGTCAACATAAACAGTACTCATGTTTTTTTATACCATGGCTGCTGCAGCCTCTGAATGTATGGATGGATGAGTACTGTGAAATGAATACTGAGAACCATGTCCCTAGTCATTCTTTCTTGAGATGGGGGCCCAGGAGCACTCTTCTTAAATGAAAGTTTATAGTTGTATACCCCTAAGATAGGCATGGGCGTGGTCTTAATGATTTCTCAAATGGCCTCTAGACATCTTCCTTCTTTTTTAATTCAAATAGTTTCTTTTTAATAGCACTTGTCTCTTCAGCAAGTACACTTTCATTAACCCTAACTTTACATATGTTAATTTCTTACCAGAGTGTGATATGTCTGGCCTCTACTCCAGTTCACATATATATATATTCATATATATATGAATATATATGTGAATATATATGTGAATATATATGTGAATATATATATGAATATATATATTCATATGACACCTTCAAGGATATGATACATACTGTTCAGAGACCCATTAGCATTCTTGTCATCTTAGCTTAGACCAAAATCATCCATCAGGCTTTGCTTACAATATTTTAGGCTTTATCAAACGTGCTTCTCCAAATATTTCCAAACTTCAGCCAAGCAGCCTAAAGACTTCTGAACAGCATGATCAGGTACAGTCACAGGTATTACTCAGGCCCTCTTGTACAGATTACTGTACTGTACAGTTTTCCATTTGCAAGGAGGAAAAAACCCCTGATACTTGAAGCTTTAGAAAAGAGAGATTTATTTGGCTCACATTCAGAGAGTTCTGTTTATAGACAACTGGGTCCAAGATAGATTATATCATGGGAGAAAGCATGCTGAAGCAAAACTGTTTAATTGATGGAAGTCAGAAAGCAGAGTACAGGAAATACGTGTCATAGATCACACCCTCATGACTTACCCAGAAAAAAACAGAAGTGTGATTTCTAATCTAGGCATCTCTCAAGTCAATCAGGTTGACAATCAAGATTGATCATTGCATTTTCCTATGTTTCTTTAGTTGTATAAAAGCTCAATTTGTCAGGTATGAAACATGATTAAATGGTTAATTATCTAAAACAATGTATGAGGAAAAAATCTCAATCTGCACAATTCTATGATCATGAAATACTTACTTTGTACATAAATAGTAAATGATGGCTTTGTCAAATTGCCATGATTTGTTAATGCATGAATCATTAATATTGACTTTTCCCAAGGTGCATCAATCATAACCTTATTCATCAACCTCTATTTATAGATTTCATTTACCTAAACCTTTTTGTAATTATCATTAGAAGTGGAAATCAGGATTTGTTGGTTCTACTTACACTACAGGAAAATCTTTTAATTCATTAAGACAACACTGACAATCAAAAAAGCACAAGGTGAATGCTAAATTTCCAAATCAGTGGTTAAAGGGCATTTTGGCATATATTCAATTCTTCAAATTATGTGAGTTTATGCACACTCACACAGACACACATGCATTCACACACTTTGAAATACAATGTTCTTATTTGTTTAGACACTTTTGTGTTCTATGCAAGTTTGATTAATCCCGTTAACAAAAAAGCAAATGGAATTAGATCCAATTATTATAAAGATACAATCTATTTGGTATCAACTAACAGATAAGTCCTTCATTGTTACAAAGCAAAACACAATAATCAAAGCTGTAAAATTCCTCAATCAATTTATGTAGACATGGTAAATTAATGCTAGTATAAATAAGAGGTAACAGAATGTTTCTGTATATGACAGGACCTGGAAATTACACATTGTATAGTCTCTAAATATATTTTAATGATAATAATTATGAAAAGATGTTTATATTCACCAAATAGGGATATAAAATTAAATTTAAAACTCATAATTAATGTACTTAATTCTCACTTTAGAAAATGTGGTATTTATAACGTGTCAGTAATGCTATGAAAAACTGAAATGTATATGTTGCTGGAAGAAGCATAAACAATTGTACATAATTTTCAAATCTGTTTTAAATAATTAGTAAAAATAAATCAAACTTACATTCTAATTGATCAGTTTCATCAACAACAATACAGCTCCCTCAACAGTAGTTGACTATATAAACTCAAATTTATATAGATCAGTCAAAAAGAAAGTTCTGGGTCTACATATATCAATGTATGTGCTTAAATCACTGCTTAAATACACAATTTAAGTAAGACTCTGTATAATTCACTGCTTATTTAGGTTTTAAAATGATGAATACATTTTATATATAAATATCTATGAAGTAAATGCTTTAAATCAACTATGAAAACAAGTTTCTTTATATCCAGAGTAAGTGCATAGTAATTTGGAGATTGAGGTACATATGTGCTGTTTATAAAAAGTGAACATTAACATTTAGTAAAATTTTTAGCTATGAAAAATTTTATACCTATTGTGAGCAATATTTAAATATGCTGCAAATTTGAATAATAAGCGCTAAATTTCACACAGAATTACAATTTTTTCAAAGCTCATGTTTAACTATTCTGTATATACAAAATATTAATCCTTCAAGTTATTAATCTTCACTGAGTGCTGCAATCTTTTATACAGTAGATAACAATGAATAATTCTTCATGTATTTATATTACCATAGTAATTTTGAGAATATTATAATTGCCAATAATACACTCCAAAAGTGTATTTTAGTTTTAATTTTAGGTTCATATCTCAGTATATTTTCTCTCCTAAACTGTCTTTTGACTTTTTTATAATTCATTTTCCATGGGCATTATTTTCAATTATTAAGTGCTATTATTTAATATCACAAGCAAAAAAAAAACTAAAAAAATTATTTTCTGCTTGCCACCTCATAAGAACAGTAAATGTACTAGTGATGACATATTTATGAATAAATGATAAAGTATGAAAGAAAAAACTAAGAATGGCAAAGTATGTGTCTAAAGGATAAAAGATGTTTCACATTATTACCTGGGGAAGAAAGCAATCAAGCACTTCAGGAAAAAAAATCTAAAATTGGTTATTTTCAAGGCAACTTATTTACATAACTTAGAAAAAAAATTCTTATAAGTGTGTTATTTTAATGGTATACCCAAAGCTGTTCTTCATGGGTTATATATGTGCACACTTGTAAAATATTCTCTATTAAACACCCCCAAAATGTAGTCTAATCTGGATGTACCAGACAAGTAGGGATATGACAGGGTAAAATAAAAGAAGATGAAATTTTCTAAGTATTTGTCTAAAAAATAATGAAGTTTCATAGTATGTAAAATTGTAGAGAAAAGTTCTAGAAAAATAATAGGTGAATGGATCAAGAGAAACCAAACCTTGACATACAAAAAAGAAGAATCAAGTATATTATCAAGATTTGTGGCATACTTACTCTTATTAATTTATCTTAATCTTAAATGCTAAATAAAATAATCTTTTTGAAATTAATGTGCACAGACACTTTCCCCAAGCTCTGACCATAGACAGCTTCTTATATTTTTTAAAGTTAGGTATTTTTATCTGTACCATAAATTTGACAATTTTTTCTATTTCAGCTATTATCTGTAGCTTGTCAACATTATTATTTTTCTTTCATGATCATTTTGATCTTTTTCTCATATGAATCAGAGATAATAATTACTATTCTATTGATACACAAGGTAGTTAACATAAGTTTACATGAACTACCTTTTATGAATTGAGTTTGTTTTATTAGTTGTGGATAGAGTTGGTTTATTAGTCAGAGTGCTAGCCTATATGACTATAACTAATTAACTTCTCAGTTCTCAATTACCCCATAGCACAAATATTTAGTTTGGATCAGGGCATAAGATGACACATTTATCACACTCAATAACACAAACTTGGTGGAGGTTTTACTATCTTACAACCATAGCACTTGTTTGCCAAAATTGAAAATAAAAACAGAATTACTCATAGGTCTTTAAATGCTTTATTTCTAAAGTGACGGACATTATATTTATTGTTCACCAGCAAAACAAGTAGTATAAGTCATTATGAGAGATATTCATATACAATTTTTTGCCACAAAAATTTTTTGTGCTTTTGTACTCCTTTGCTTTTTATCCCAGTCAACCATCAGCAGACTAATCATTCAAAGGTTTAAGGACGGTTTATGAAATCTTACATAAATGAAACTAAGGTTTTCTTAGAACGACAGAGTTGAATCGAAAAATATCATGGTAACAATACAGTATCAGTTCACTTTTGGCATCCGATAATTAACACCTTCTTAGCTTCTATACTTAAAATTTTTGAAAGTGTCTTAACTTCATTGTATTTGAAATTTCCATTTGACACTCCTTACATAGGGAACCTCTTTTGACATCTGATTGGTCATTAAATTTTGTCATTGCTTCCATTATCATTTTTTTACATTATCCCTTTCTGAAGACTGGGCTTAGTGAGTGCTGAGACAGGCCAACACTTTATCAGGGTTGTTATATAGTCTTGGATACAGGGTTCTTAATAGGTGAAACCGAACAACAATGTCAATGTCCTGAAGTTCCCCGTGATTCTATATACTGATTAGACAATTCATACTATTTCATTGAAAATTAATATGCTAATGCAATTTATGTAACAAGTCATAGTATAGAATAAAAATAAATGGAAATTATATATAAAGGTTCATATCAAAATAAGAAATAGGACAATAGATAATACAGATCCCATAGATATTTCAACCAAATCAGTCAAAAGATAGTTATGTTTGTCTAAAGTTTTTCTAGTGTTAATATACTGGCTTCTCTAAGTATGCAGGCAAGGTTTAAAGTACATTCACATCAAATGTAGAGTATCTTTTTGATATAAGTATTGTAGTTATGCTTTTATTTTTAAAAATGTCTGACCTAGAAATGTCTGAAATCTACCACTAGGACATCCAAGTTGCTTCCCTGTCAGGTAT